TGGATGCAAAGTGCTCCTCTCCTCAAGTTCTCATTTTCTCATGCAGCACAGCCACACCAAACAGCTCACACCAGAGCAGAACCTCCCTTACCAAAAGCCCTAAATGCCCAGAGGCAGGAGGCACAGGCAATGAAGTGGGAAAGCAGCAAGAATAGGTGCTCAATTTTCATGTTTCTATAAAAGCAAGTGATAATTTAAAATCTCCAGCAGATACTATAGTAGGAGGGCAATGAAGCAAGAGAACAGATTGCATGAAAAGGAAGAAGTGCCCTATGGAGTTTGTGACCTGTTTACCATAAGTAAATAAATAAATGAAAGCAAAACAACCCCCTGAGGTGACAGTTTGCATGAGGGACATTAGTGACTCTGTCATGTGGAAGCCTATAGAGACAACTGTCATTACAGAGCAAGGGATTGATTTGCCACACAACAGGAACTCAGGAGAGAAAGCAGATGTGAAAGAAGGGAAGAGGAAGGTTTGGAAATGAGGACAGCAGGGAAGTCACTCTAATATTGACCAACTAACAGCACTGCCCTGGTACACAGCAGCTGAAGGCCAAGAGGAAAATGGAGCAGTTTGAGAACACCATGAAATGAAGAGAGAACACACAAGCCAGGTCAATTCTTTCTACTCCCCACTGAATCACTCAGCAACTCTTCCTGCTCCTGTGGCAGGTGGACTATCACAATTTTGCATCCTTCATTAGGGTTAATTAGCTCACTTGCTGACAATGTTGAAAGAAAGGCCAAGTGTTGGCTCAGCCAGAGGGAGTGACATCTTCAGTTCCTGCAGGAGCCTGCTGCCCGAGGAAAGCCTGGGCTGTCCCTGCCTCTATTCCCTGATCTGAGGGCAGGCTCCAGAATAAATCTTATTCCTTTCAGTTCCACTACCATCCACTGCTATCAGAAATCAGGAATATGTTATTTTGGCCTCTTTGATCTCATTCAAACCGTGAAAACAACAGCCTAAGCATTTTGCCCTGCTGTATCTCGGGGAGCTGGAAACCTTTTACCAGCAAGAAATTCTTACAGCAGTTACCATGGTGACTCTGGTAATAGATATTTAAAGGCAGCTCACTCATAATCACATTCATTAGATATCAGGAGGCTTTAGTAAGAAAGGCACAAAAAGCTTGAAACCAGGGAGCCAGCCAGGCTTGGTGATGGTGTAAGAAATTTATGGGGAGGGATCTGCTTATCCCATCATTTAGCTGGACACAAAGGGCTCCTGTCCAAATCTGGAATGGCACTGAAGCTTGCAGAATAAACTATTTTTAGTTTGTCAATTAAAAAATTGGTTCTGAAAGCCTCATTTCAATTGTGGTATTTCCATTAATCCTTTCAGAGTGGCCATTGCCAGAAATATAAGAAATAGCTGTGCCACAGCTCCATCCCCCATTATAGAGCCAGGCTGCTGGGAATCTCCTGGTCTGCCATCACCTGGAAACTCAAATCTGGATAAAGCTCGCTGAGTTGAAGAGGTATGTTTGGTTCTACAAATGTTAAATCATTTATTTCTTTAGGTTTGAGTCCACAGCTTTCCAATCCACTGGAACACAACCCAGAGAATCTGCATCTCCAGATAGGGAGCCACTTCTCCAGGCTGGCTGAGCCCGTGCAACAGTCATCAAACTGAGATTTCCTTTCCCTTTTTGCTGCATATTTCCATGACAACTTTCCTGCAGTATCAACTTCTTTCTCTTGGAAAGGTCTCTCAAAGAGAATTTAGGCTTCTATAGCAACAGCTGAAAGCCCTGGGAGATAATGATGCCTGAAACTTTTTTTAGACCACAAAAGTGTGTTTTAAATTATATAGGTGAAAACAAAAATATGTGTAATATTGGGCAGACTGTGAAGAGGAGAAGAAGCACCTTGCTGAAGTGGAACAAACACAAAGAAACCACCTTACTTTCAAAAGGGGTGCAGACTTTGAGATCTAAAACGTTTGGGAGAGCAGACAGGATCAAACACTCATCCTGAAAAGCCACATCCTGTTCCTTCTCTCTGAGTTACAGAGCACAGTCACAAGGAACAAGTCTGCTGATCCTACAAGGAGATTTTAGTCCAAGATCTCTCTCTGCAGCCTATTTTATATTGACTTAAAGAAAAAAAAAATTGGAAAATCAGTGAGTCAGGATAGCTTTTGAGTTTTAACTCCAATATACCTGCCACCTTCCTGTAATCTAAACTTTTTGTTAGTACTTTAGCTGTTTGCCATGGTAGTGACACAGTATTCTCCAACACTGAGGGCTACTTTAGGGAAAAAAAAAATCCAGCTGCACTCTCAACCAAATAAATTTGCTAAACTCATAAAGCCAAGGAAAGTACAGAAGCTGAAGCAGCTTTTCTTCATTGAAATTAGATCTATTTCACAAAGCACTTCTCCAGTGCACTTTCCAACCTAAAGTCTTTTAAAGAAAAAAAAGACAAAACATTTTGACCTACATTCACAAGGTCAAGGAGAGGAAGGAAAGGATTAAATTTAATGTATAGATGGGAACACAGGGTGGAAACAAAGCCCAGCAGGTCCAAGCACCTTCCCTTTTGCAGCCACTGGAAACCTCTTTGTACACAACAGGTGGGATCAGCATGTGACCACCTGCAAAGCAGCCCCACTTTCTTCTGCTTGTGCTGATGAAAAGCTTTTCCTTTTAAAATTAAAATGCCCATTAATTTATCTCCTCCTCTTCTCATTCACCCTTACATCAGGACAGCTCTGATAAGGAAAAGAAAGTGCCCACAGGTAGGAATGAGTGGAAAAGAATGGATTTGATCTAATTCTTGTTGACTTCCATCTTCAGTCACTCCTTGCCCAGCTGAACAACTTCAGAAAACACTCTGGAACCGGCATTTTGACAAAATAAAACTTGAGGACTGGACTGTGAAAACTTATTTTAATTTTTTAATAGCACTGCTAGAGTCTATTCAAAACCTGGAACTCTACATCCAAGACACATATGCAAAACCAGGATTTCTGACAAACCCCCTCATTATTTCCAAGATTTATCCTGTCTGGAGAAGACTGAAGCGTGGGAGTCACTGAGTCACTGCAAAGGTCAAGTGAGACGCAAAGATTCGGTGTCACCGTGTGCTGCCCTCTGCTGAGACACACACCGAGCTCCTCCGAGCAGCGCCAAAGCTCGGGATCATCTGCGCCCGCTGCTGCCGTCACACTCACCCCAACTCGAAATGTTTCATTTCCTGGGACCAGGCAAGGTTAAAAATAACCTGAGCTCTTGCACTGGACTGAGCAGCTCCAGGATAAAGGAGTGTCTGGGGAGAGAAGCCAGGGAGAAGGAAGAGGGTCGGACGCACCGTCACTCTGCAGTGATGGAGGGTCACAGGCTTGGAAAGAAGAAACTGCTGAAAGTTGCATTTAAACAACTTGTTTATCAAAGATGCTGAACTCTCAGAGTCCCTCTCAAATCCTTAATCCTCCATCTGATTTCACCCACACGAAAAATCTGTTCAGGCAGAGGAGATTATTCAAATACTCAGGCACCGGAATTTGTTCGTATGTAGAACAGAAGGGGGAGAGGAAAAAACTATTAAATATCTAAGGGGAAAATAACATCTAATTACACATTAATATCCATAAATAAGTATATTTTATAGAATCATATTTACAAAAATCTTGCTTAAATATTTTATTTACAAACAAATAGTAACCCAGCATTTTCTCCAAAACTCAGGGAAAGGGGAAAGAAAGTCAAAGCAATATTTCAACTATACATATAAACTCTCAGTGCTGAAATTCCCAATCCAACACATATGTTTTTTCCCTTTAGGCCTTTGGAAATTAGGCTTTGCTGTGTGACTTCAGCCCAGCAAGGTTATTTCGGCTCAAGAAGATTGAAATCTTAGGCTGAGGGCTCCTTAGGGAGACCATCCTGGCAGCAACCTCCCCTACCCTGACAAGATCCTGCTGTAGTAGATTTTAACCACGCGTTTTTTCATGGAATTTGGCCTTAAAAAAAGGGGAGGAGAGGGAGGGGAAGTACCCCCAACAAACAAACAAACAAAAATCCTAAACAAACAGCAAAAAGCCATATTTTTAAAAAACCCCAAGGACGAAAAGAAAAAAAGGAAAAGAGGGAATAGCAGCGGGCAGGTGGTGCAGCCAGTAGAGGGCAGTGGGATTTAGAGGAAAGTTGTTGAACTTCGTCTAATGAAGTATTTGAAGTGATAAAATTATCCATTTAAATCGTTATTTGAACCTACCTACCTACACTAAGACATAGGCAGGATAGAAAAAGAAAAGAACCAAAATAGAAAAGAAATTGTATTACTTTAGGACCTCTAAAAAGTGTTTCAGGGTATCAGGAAGATTTCATACGAATGCAGCATTTACTTAATTTTGAAAGTAATTTTCAATTACTGAAATACAATAATTCCATGCATCCTATTGAAACCAAGACAACTATGTCTCATAGATTTTAAAGCATATAGGTAACTTAAAACAGAAAAATATCAAATAAGAAGAAAGGTATTTTTAAGGCACACCTATTGTCACTTGTGAAGATGAAAACAGGTTCTAGTCAACAAGAAAGTAAAACAGGTGAAGAAAAAGCAACACAAGGAGGAAACATAGATTTTTTTTTTTTAAATGCACCGTATTCACCAAAAGGAAAAGCAACATTTCTCACCTTATCACCAAACAGAACAGCTCCCCAGAGCGAAGATTCGTGGATTATTTGACACGAGCCCAGTCTGCATTTTGCGACGGAATATCGTGGATATTCTCAGAGCCCTTTTGAGCTACACATGTCCTGAAGCAACACCGCTGCCCCACGCCAGAGGGGACCGAGCTGTCCCCAGGGAGCAGCGGGGCATGTCCCGGTGCTCCGTGGCACAGCGGGGACACCTGTGCCAGGTTTGGGAGCCCCACTGCCCCTCCGAGCCCTGCCGGAGCCCCGCTGCCCTCAGAGCCCCCCGGGGGCTGCAGGAACCCCGCTGCCCTCAGAGCCCCCCGGGGGCTGCCGGAGCCCCGCTGCCCTCAGAGCCCCCCGGGGGCTGCCGGAGCCCCGCTGCCCTCAGAGCCCCCCGGGGGCTGCCGGAGCCCCGCTGCCCCTCCGAGTCCCGCTGCCCCTCCGAGCCCCGCTGGAGCTGCGGGAGCCCCGCTGCCCTCAGAGCCCCCCGGGGGCTGCCGGAGCCCCGCTGCCCCTCAGAGCCGCGCTGGAGCTGCGGGAACCCCGCTGCCCCTCCGAGCCCCGGCTCGGCTCCGGCGGGACGCTACGGGCGCCCCGTGCGGGACCTGTTGCCCTCAGACACCGGCGCGGGGCCGGAGTCAGCGGCGGGGAGGATGCGGGGTCACGGCGGCGGCACCGCGACACCTCACCCGCTGTCCGCACCTCAGCCAGGGCACAGTGGTCCCGCACTGCGGCACCTCAGCGCTACCCCAGCAGCGGGATGCCCGGCGCGAGGCTGCCGGTTCTGCCCAGCCCAGCCGGTGCCCCCGCGCTGCCCGCACCTCCCCGCGCTCACCTGCAGCCGCCGCCGCCGCCGCCGAGCTCGGGGATGCTCCGCAGCCGGAGCCTTCACCTCACCTGCACCGGCCGCACCGGCCACCAGGGGGCTGCCCTGCGGCTCGCCGGGTAATGTAGTCCCCTGGCTGCCCGGGACGGCCAATCCCCGCGCGCGCCGCGGAACGTGCCGGGAGTGGTAGTTCTTGCCGGAGGCGTCGGCGCAGGGCAGACCGGGAGATGTAGTTAAAACGCAGCGATGCGCAGCTGGCTTCTCCCCGCTCCGAAACTACAACTCCCGTGCGCCCCCGGCGCGGTGGCTCTAGCGGGCCCGGACGCGGCGCCGAGCGGCCGTGGGTGTGCATGGCCATCATGGCGGCCCCGCCGCCCTCAGCGCCGGGAGAGCCGGGGCCGCCGCCGCCGCCGCCGCTGCAGTACAGCCTCCTGCTGCAGCACCTCGTGGGCGACAAGCGGCAGCCCCGCGTCTGGGACCCCGCCGTCCTGGGTGGAATCCCCTGCCCGCCCAAGAGCGAGGAGCAGAAGATGGTGGAGCGGGTCATGGAGAGCTGCCCCTTCAAGGCGGCGCTGGCTTGTGTGGGAGGTGCGGCGGCTGTGGGGTCGTTCGGGGTTCCTGTGGCGTCGGGAGAGGGGCGGATGGAGAAGAGACTGCAGTCCCCGTGTTTGGTGTTCCTCCTGAGCCTCCTCCAGTGCCTGTCACATGTCACAGGCAGGGATCTGTGTCTGCCTTCCTTGGAGGTGCTCGTGGCCTTTCCTCACACAGCACGGGCTGTCACAGGTGTCCACAGTACGAGGGATTCCTGCCCTGTCACAGACAGCAGGGGCAGAGCCGCTTCATTGCCTGCAGGGAATGTGCTGCTCCTGCCCAGCCAAGTTAATTTCACTGTTTATCTCTCACAGGGTTCGTTCTGGGAGGTGCGTTCGGTATCTTCACAGCTGGCATCGACACCAACGTGGGGTTTGATCCCAAGGATCCCTACCGCACGCCCACGGCCAAAGAGGTGCTCAAGGACATGGGGCAGCGAGGCATCTCCTACGCCAAGAACTTCGCCATCGTGGGTGCCATGTTCTCCTGCACAGAATGTGTGGTGGAATCTGTGAGTAAGAGCCTCTCAACCATTAAGAAATGTTTTCTGGTACCCTTTAAAATCTTCTACTAGATCCAAATAACTACATATATCCTCCTTGTAATAGGGCAATGGAATAGGCTGCTTTGTTCTTTCTTGGCCAGCAAAGCTTTTCACCTTGGAGATCTGTCTTCAGAGCTGCTGTTCTCTGACAGAATGAAGAACTCTTCCGCAGTAGCAAAGTCCTTTTCTGTTTTTAGTCTTAAACGTATTGGCAAGCATAGGCATTACTTTTTAAAACCCTAGCTACAAGTGCTTGTGTAAAATGTCAAACTGTGAGTTGCGAGATGGTAATTTGAGTGTCTAAAAATTCCATATGCAGAAAGGGATCATTTGATGAAAGTTCTTGAGTAACAGGCCCATTTTCATCTGGCTCCTACAGTCAGAAATTACCTTTTGCAGCTCAGTGGTAAATCTGTCATCTGTTTTTTTAATAGGAAAATTACCCTGTTATGAATTTGAGTCCTGCCTTTTAATTGAAAGGCACAATGAGTTAAGAAGTTTAACTCATCTAGAAGAAAAGTGTATCTGCTTGCACAATGGAGCAGAACAAAGAGATCTCTGCACTGGTGAAAATCCAGCATGTCCTGCCTATGGAAATAGTGCACCTTTGTCAGCTGGTGCTGTGACTCTCACTGTGCCAAGGACCAGCTCCATGGCCAGGCTCAGGGCTGCTCGGATGTGGCTGTTGCACTTTTAGACTCAGGGCTGTGTTCTGTCCTGGCTCACCTGAGGATCCTTCCCACAGCACTGCATTGCACCACATGGATTTGTCTCACCTCTCCTAGTTCCCTTCTCCTTCCTCCCTTCCCTGCCCTGCAAGTCTGGGAGTGCAGGGCCATCTGCTGAGAGCAGAGGGAAGAACACCCTCAGCTGAGAAGGGGATGGAAGGGCGTTTAACCTTCCTTGCTGTTAGCACAGATACTGAGTGTTATTCCATATTTCCTTGTTGGCTGTGATTTGTAACTCCACAGTATCGTGGGAAGTCAGACTGGAAGAACAGCGTTATCAGCGGCTGCATCACGGGAGGAGCCATCGGCTTCAGAGGTTGGTGGTGCCTGCTGGGAACTGTTTCTGTGATAAGATTGGATTTGGTTATGCAGCACACGATGTTCTCAGTGCAGCACACACAGCACAAACCTCTTTGCATGGGGATGTGGTGAGGCTAGCATGAGAGTGTGCTCCGGACTGGCAGAGCTGTCAGCTCCAAGAATAAGTGGGGATAAGGAAGGGTTGGTCAGAGAGGAAAATCAACAAAATTCACTTGAAAGAAAAATCAGGAGATGGTGCTGGCTGTCCACACTCTTCTGTGGTGTCATGGGAGAGAGCCAAAATACAAATAGAAGCTGTTAACTGAGCTCTACACATCTGCCATTTCACTGTCTCCGCTACTCTCCTTTGAAATTAGAACTAAAGAACTCTTTTCTTTTGTACCATGTGTAAAATGCTTTTTTCCTTTCTCATGTATCAGTTCAAACAGACAATTTTACTTACATGTGAATGAGAAGTGGAGTTTTAGTCCAGCAGCACTAGTGGAGACTTTCCTTTAGTGGTAACATCTGGGAAAATGCCCAAGTAGGAGAGAGCTGTTCTGCTCATCAGAAATATCAAACTTCTCTCACTCTCCTTAAAAAAACCCCAGTCCTGTTTTAAGAAGCATAAATGAAAAGAAAGCTCTTGAAAGTGCTTCTAATTGAGCTTAAGTTGTGTTTGTCCTAGACCTAATCCTCTTAGAGCTGTCAGAGCAGTGGCTGCTCCTCCTCTCCCTCCCTAGCCCCACCAAGCCACTTGCAGGGCTCAGATGAGAGCACAGTAAAGTCAGCAGTGGCCACGGGAGGGTTTGTACATCAGGCAGTGGCAGTGTCACTGTCCCCTGGGAGGGCACTGCCAGGTTCCTGCTGCTGTGAACTCTGAGCCAGCACAAGTTACTGGGAATAAGAATATTTCTCCTGCTTTGTCTCATGGTTTCCCACCCTTGCCTTGCAGCTGGGCTGAAGGCCGGCGTGATCGGCTGCGGAGGATTCGCCGCTTTCTCCGCCGCAGTCGATTACTACCTCCGGTAACAGCCAGGAGCAACATTCCCTGTTCAGTGCTGCTGCTGAGAGCCTGCACCATGGCACAAGCACCAGGCTTACCTTTCCACTGCCTCTGGAGCCGGGGTGGCGCTGGCCACTGTGTGAATGACTAACAGCAACCTGGCTGCGAGCCCTGGCGAGCTGCTGCAGGCAGGCTTGCGGGAGCAGGGGAGGATGGAGCCAGGCACAGAGCAGCATCTCCAGGACAGATCAGCTGACTGTCAGTTTCCAGGAAACATGCCTGGACTCTGAGCTCTTTCGATCCTTTGGGGCTGATTTTGATTAAGTCTGTTGCTGGCATCAAAAGAAGGCAGGAGGACAATCTTCGAAGAGAAATGCAGCGATTTAGGTTATCACGTATTTGAAGGTGCTGCAAGTGTTTTAACAGTCACCAGTTTGCAGCTTGCTACTCTGTTGGGGAGAGGTAAGATCCTGTGGAGAAATAAGCTTGTTCCAGGCTTTTCTTAAAATACCAGCTGAAGACAAACCACCATCTGTACAACTTGTCTTATTTCAAGTACAGAGATGAGCGCCAGATTTCTTTACCATGTTTTAAAGGGAAAAGCAGAAAGGAATCCTTACCCTTAGAGCTGTGGTTACTGGCAGATGAACAGAACAGTTTAAGGGAAAAAAAGAGGTTGTTGCTGAAGTATAATTCTCTGTAGCCACTTGGCTAGCCTGATTTAACCTCACTGTGGGAGTGCAATCTTGCTACTGCTTTAACTGCCCCAGGCTCACCCCATTAGTTCCAGCAGTTTGATAGTGAGACTTAGAGCTGTGAGAATAAACCAGTGTTTGACACATAACTGGGCACTCACTCAGCACACAGCCTGCTTCCCATCACATCCCTGTGCCACCTCCAAGTGCCCCAGTGTTACTTACACAGGGGGAAGTGAGTGTTTTTTCTCAGCTCAGTTTTTTCTGAGCCCAAAATTGGTGCTGAAATCAAAACATCTGTTTGTTAGGTCAAGGAGCTGCTGATTGGTGTTCTATCTGCCCTCCTGCTATTCTAACCAAGCTCTGTTCTCAGACCTCAGAGGGTCGTTTTTAACCTTCATTGAGCCATTCCATAAAGGCAAACACTCCCTCTAATCTTTTTGAGGCAGTGGCATTTCAGATGCAGTGCACACAAGTAATAGGGATTCTCCCACTCACCTCCCCTCCTTGGCATCCACAGTTGGACATCCCAGAACAGTGACAGCCCTTGTTGACCTGGAAGAACAACACTAGCAGTGTGTTTTGGCTGATAACAGTGGTCAGTGGTCAGTTTGGAGGCACATTGGCTCCCATTCCCACATGGAAAGAAGTGGGGAGACAGCAAGCACCATGTGATCTATCAGATGAGGTTTCCAGATCTCCTGATGTCCCTTGCTGTGCCTGTTCAATATCCTCAGGCCAGAAGCTGTGCAAGTCAGCTGAATTTTAAGCTTGAGTAATTCTAGGCTGATTAAACAGCCTGGCTCCAGACAGTCCAGGGTTTTTTTCCTCCAAAATGCAAGGATGGAGCCCAAACCATAAGAAGTCTCTTCAAAGATTGCCTGGCACAATGCCTGTGCTTATACCACTGGCTTGAAGTGCAACTAGCAAGAATTCCACGACAGAAACAAGAAGCTGTGATGCCAGAGTGATCAGTTAGTGCAAACAGCAACACCACAGGGCTTCTTTTGTGCAAATATCAGGGCTTTGCATTTTTATTAACATTTTTTTTTCTCCTCACGAAGTTTTACAGCCATTTAAAGTTTATAATCTACAGAAATTGAAACAGAACACAAACAAAAATATATCCTTAACAACTTTTGAAAGTCAAATATTAATTAACAGTTCTATTCTACCTGTAGCTGCAAGAGTCCACCCCCCTCTTTTCCTTCCTGTAGGGACAAGCAAAAGCCAGTCATGGGGACAGCCACAGCCTGTTG